GCACTCAGGAGACAGAGGCAGGTGGATCTCTGACTTTGAGGCTAGCCTGGTCTACATAGCAAGTTCTAGGCCAGGCAGGACTACATAGTGAGAACCTGACTCAAAACAAGAAATAATTTTGAATCTGGTAGGCTGTTGGTCAGCCTTACATGGATGTCTATACACGAACTTGGCATTTCTCCTCTCTGCCAGTCAAGTCTAAGGCTGGTGCGAGGCGAACTCCTATCATCCCAGCACTGGGGAGGCTGAAAGAGGAGGATTGTCATGAGTTCAAAACCAGCCTGGGCTATAAAAGTAAGGCTCTAGGTCTCAAAAAACAAAAATATTACACACTGAGTCTGAGTGACCCCAAGTACAGCCCTTAGGCCCTCTGGAGAGCTGTGACACCCAGACTGCTGGAGGTTCCTAGAGTTGGAGAGGTGCCCCACTGTGGTGGGGTTGCCACAGGATAGCCGTTGCTCCGTGCTGTGGGACACAGGACAAATAAGGCATCTCGGGGCAGACATGGAAAGTCCCTTAAACTTAAACTGCATGCTTTAAAAGAAAACTTTTTTTCCAAAAGATAGACCAAGCTGATGTTGGCCTTATGGAATGCAGAGACCGTCTAGGCTCTTCCAAGAACCAGAGGCAGGAAGACACGAGCTGAGCCACTGAGTGATTGCATGGTAGATACCAAGGAACAAGTTCACGTTTATTTTCTCAAGAGAAAAAATTTGGCTTCCTTTGAAATAAAATAATTACACTGGGTTCAGTTGTACGTGCCTAACATCCCAGCATTCTGAATGCTAAGGCAAGAACTACAACTTCCCAGGCCAGCAATTCAAATCACAACATTGTCTAAGTCAACCATCTTGTCACCAGAGAGCACATTGCTGGGTTGGGAGGCTGACTTCTAGGGGTTCCAACTCAACTCACCAAATAACCCTGACTCCAAAGACAAGGACCAGGTAGGTGGCTACTTTAAAGGACTTAGAGAAGTGTGAGCACCTGCAGATGTCACCTTTCCCTTTATCATATGACTGGCAAGAAAACTACAGCCTTAAAGCAAATTTAGCAACTACTGGGTTCTCTGTGCAGACTCTGGAACTCTGGGACAGCGTCTATACTGTACTTGCAGGGTCGCATCCCTGCCTCATGACTCCCAACCCCATCCTCCTTCTCTGGTAGGAGAGTGGGTGGGGCAAGCTAATAAGGAGAACACACCATCCCGTGGTGTTCTTACCATCCACCTTTGATGGAAGGCAGGGCAGGAACTCAAGCAGGAACCCCGCAGGCAGGAATCACTGAGGATCACGGCTTGCTGGTCCACTCAGACTCACGCCTGATTGGCTTTCTATACAGCCAGGACCACCTGCCCAGAAAATGGCTCCACCCACAGTGGGTCAGACCCACCTACAGCAGCTAAAATAATCCTTCAGGCCTGGAGAGTTGGCTCAGCAGTCAAGAGCACTGACCACTTTCCCAGAGGACACAGGTTCTATTACCAGCACCTACTGGTGACTCACAACTGTTTGTAATTCCAGGGCATCTTCTGGCCTCCAGGGGCACCAGGTACTCACACTTGACACACACATATACAAAGGCAAAACGCCTTGTGGTGGTTTGAAAGAAAATGGCCCCCAAAGGCAGTGGTACTATTAGGAGGTGTGGCTTTGCTGGCGTAGGTATGGCCTTGTTGGAGGAAGTGTGGCACTGTGGAGGCAGGCTTTGAGGTCTCATGAATGCTCAAGTCCCATTCTGTGGCTTTTAGGGGGAGTGGCTCTTAGGGGGAGTGGCTCTTAGGGGGCGTGGCTCTTAGGGGTTGGCTCTTAGGGGGAGTGGCTCCTGGGGGATGGCTTTTAAGGGGAGTGGCTCTTGGGGGTGGCTTTTATGGGGGTGGCTCTAAGAGGGGCAGGGGTGAGGACGACTGACGGTGCAGGGGGAACAGGATGTTGTTGAGTTCCCAAGTGGTTAAAAATATATCCTAGGAAATAAAAAATTAGCTGGGAAAAGCACAAGTGTGTGTGTGTGTGTACACATGTGTATAGGCCAGAGAACCTCAAGTGTCTTTCCTCAGGTCCTATTTATCTTTGTTTTGTTGTTGTTGTTGTTGTTGTTGTTGTTGATACAGGGTCCTCATTGGCCTGAAGAAGTCAGCTTTGTCCCCAGCCCACCTCCATGCCCAGCTTTTGTTCTTTAACATTTTTAGTTAGTGTGTGTGGTGCAGGTGAGGGTCAGAGGACAGCCTGCAGCAGTTGGCTTGAACCTTCGCCATGTGTGTCCGCCGAATTGAACACCTGGACCTACGAGCTACACTACCAGCTGCTGTTGTTTTAGGGTGAGTTCTGGAGGCTGGAACTCCGGTCCTCACACTGGCAGGGCAAGCACTTTACCACCTGAGCTACCATGCCCACCCATGCGTGGTTTCCCGCCTCGGTTAACCCGCGTAATGCAGAGGCTTTTGTGTGTTTTCAATCTGTAACGGTCGGCTCCCAAATGTTGTGCCTGCTGCTACACATACAAGGTCCCAAATTAGACAAGTAGCTTACATGTTCGAATAAAAAAAAAGCCCAGGCTGCTGGGTGGTGGTGGTGCACACCTTTAATCCCAGCACTCGAGAAACAGAGACAGGCAGATAGATCTCTTTGAGTTCGAGACCAACCTGGTCTACAAGAGCTAGTTCCAGCTTTAAGCTATAGAGAAATCCTATCTCAAAAACAAACAAACAAACAAACAAAAAGAACCCTCAGGTTCAAGGACCCCACATCCTCCTGGCCTTCTCTGACCAAAGGCTAGCTCCTCTGGTCTTTCCTCATCTCCTGCAGGCCTGGGCTCTGTTCTTGGCTCCCCATGGCAGCCTCTCATCATACACAGCCCTCTGTCACTGATGGCTTTGTGTGCTACTGACATGCTGGGACTCGCCAGTCAGTGGACATCCCAGACACTCAACCCCAGAACCCCAGGCATGCTGGCTATGACAGACCTGTGGCTTCTCTTGAAGAGAAAAGGCCTTAGCAATCACCAGCCATTAAAGGCTGCCAGAAAGTCCCTGGAAAAGGCTGTCATGTAAATCCTTGAGAGTGCCCCATAAGAAGCCATCTGTGGGGTTAGGGGGATGGTCAGTGGGTAAAGTATTTACCTCACAATGATGAGGACCCAAGCTCAAACCCCCAGAATCACATCTGTAACCCCAGCATTCCTATGCCAGGCATAGGGGAAAGGCAGGGGCAGCAGAATGGCTGGGCCCACACTGGTCAGCTAGCCTGGACTACAGATGCCTGGACTACAGACGAACTACAGTGGACTACAGTGAACAAAAGGGACGTTGAGTCCACACCCAAGGTTGCCCTTTGACCTTCACATGCTTGCTGCAGAATGCACGTGCCCATACACATCCACATAGATGAAAAAGGAAGACCATGTTGCTGGGGTCCCCGCCTCAGGCTCTGCCCTCTGAGTATTCCAATCTTATTTGCAGCCTCCCAGACCAACGTCAGGCCACCAGCCCCATGCCAGGTCCTTCCCCCACCACTTAGTTACTCCCCTGGGGTTGGGACCAAACTGCCGACAAGAAGCAGTTTAGGGGGAAAGGGTTCATTTCTGCTTACAGTTCAGGAAGATACACTCCACCGTGGGAAAAAAGGATGGGAGGCGGCAGCTGGTCACCCCCAATTAGCTCAGGAAGCAGAGAGAGAGGAGGCTGGTACCCAGCTCACTTTCTTACTTTCTTCCTTTCTTGGGTCTAAGGCCCCAGCCCAGGAGGGAGCCATGCACAGTTAGGGTGGGTCTTTCTACCTCAGTTTACCTACAGAATCATCCTCATAGGCATGCCTACAGGCTTGTCTCCTAGATGACCCTAAATCCTGTCAAGTTGATGACATCCAGCCCACGTGCCTGCCTAGCCATCCCTCCCTGGTGCCTGCCTAGTTGGCCTCCCTGCCACTTCCCAGTCATACCTATTTCAGTGCCCTTCCTTCCAGGCCCTGCCCCTATTCCTCCTTGGATCCGGAAGGCTACATCCTGAGACCTTGATGCCCCAAAGCCTTCTCAGTGAGTCTGGTCTCACTTCCCCTCATTCTAACTCCTGCTCTTCCCTGCCTCATTCTCCCCAGCCAGCATTGTGGGACATCCTGGCTCCGACAAACCCATGAATGTCCCTCTTGCTGCAGATTCTAAACTGAGAGAGCAGCATAGTGGTTAACATAGAACGCCAACTTGACAGGATCCAGAATCGCCCACGAGAAGAGCTTATAGGAGAGTCTGTGAAGGAGTTCCTAGATTGCATTCCCTGAGGTGAGAAGACCCACCCTATGTGTGGGCAGCACCATTCCTGAGGCTGGAGCCCAGACATAATAAAAAAAAAAAAAAAAGGAAGTTAGCTTGGTGGTGGCGGGGCATGTCTTTAATCCCAGCACTGGGGAGGCAGAGGCAGGCGGATCTCTGAGTTCGAGGCCAGCCTGGTCTACAGAGTGAGTTCCAGGACAGCCAGGAAGGACGTGAGCTAAGCACCAGCGTTCGCTGCCTGCAGATGCAACATGACCAACTATCTCAGGCTCCTGCAGCCATGGCTCCCCCGCCTTGATGGAATCCACCCTCCAGCTGTGGGGCAGAATAAAACCCTGGCTAAGTTGCTGTGTCAGCTGTATCGTCCCCGCCCCGGACCAGACACTAACACGAGGGGGTTTTCCATTTGGATATTCACTGGACCTCTGCTGTGGGTTAAAGGCCCTGGTGCAGGACAGGAACGCAACAACCCTTAGAAGAGCAAACTAAACTAGAGCCCGCCCCTTTCTAACTCAGAGACTTGTAACTGAGCACTGAAACCCATTATAGTCTGAAGACTCAAAGGAACTGGGCCTACACCTCCTTCGGTGCATCTACCAATAGGTGCAGGAGTCGCTTGGGCCAGACCAAGTGAAGACCATCATGAGGTCCCAAGCAGCTTAGGCTTCATCTTCTGCCATCTTTCATCTTTAACAAGTGAAGGAGACGAGGTCTAGAAGACCAGAGAGACCAAAGAATTCTTCAAATATATTTATCATCTTTTAGTGTTTTTCTTACTTAAAAAATAATACTGAATTGTTTTAGGGACTAAAAAAAAAAAAAAACAGACCACAGAAGACTGTCTTTCTGAACAGGGGGAAACAGGAGGGATCAGAGGGCAGACAGAGATGAACATGGGGAGGACGGATGGGAGGATGGGGAGGTGTGCGTGGACAGAGAGACAGGTGGGGAGACATGACCATGAGGACGAGTGTGAGTACAGAGAAGGCAGCTGGGTGGACAGGTGTGAACACAGGGAGGGCAGGCTGGACCCTGGTTCCATGTGGTAAAGGGATGGTGGCTCCCCTTGCCTTTAAAAGGGGAGGCTCTGAGGTATCAACAGCCCGGGCACTTGAAGAACACGAAGAGAAAGTCTCTGTAGTTGCTGTGGACTAACCAGCCTCTTCCATCTCCAGCAGGTCATCCACGTATTCCACAACCTCTCCCTGGAAGAGAGGGCAGACACATCAGGAGGGCCACATGGCAGGAAAGACACACAAGAGGCCACCACTGGCTGGCGGCTCTGGGAGAAGCAAGTCCCCCCTAGTGGCTCAGAGCCCAAATGGCCCGAGTCCTCTCACTGAACGGAGTCTTAACTTCGACCCCGTGTGACCTCAGCGTCAAGTGACCAGCCACCCCACAGATAACCCAGCCTGCCACCCCAAAGACAACCCGTTTCATGTAGGTCATCTAGCCACCACTCTGAAAGGCTCCAGATGGTTCACTGCTCTGGGCGTCCTTCTATCTGCCCCCAGGCTCCTCAGTACGGCCTCAGGAACTGGCACTTTCTGCTTTGACCAGCAGCCCACACTTCCCACACCACCACAGCCAAACTCACTCTGAGAGCATCCCTGGGACGCTCTTCAAGGAGAACCATTCTAAGGTGCAGGCCTGAGCATCATTTATTTATTTAGCAGCCCTGAGGATTGAACCCAGGGCTTTGTGCATCGTAAGTATGTGGCTTTTTTTTTTTTTTCGAGACAGGGTTTCTCCGTAGCTTTTGGTTCCTTTCCTGGAACTAGCTCTTGTAGACCAGGTTGGCCTCGAACTCACAGAGATCCGCCTGCCTCTTGTGCATCGTAGGTAAATGCGATACTATTGAGCTACGTCCCCAGTCCCCACTTCCTCACTGGTACAGCACTTTCATACCCAACTGGGGTTCCGTTCTCACAATTTATGGTCGCTCCTACTTCATAAAGGGCTGGCGCTTCCTTTCTTAGTGGCAATGGCCATGTGAATCAGCACTGTGAAACTCCCCTGACCCTGTCTCCCTCAGAGGTGGAGAGGAGCGGGGAAGGGGCAGCACAGAGCCTCTGGGCCTGGCCCAGCATCTCCCTGAGCTTCCCCTCCCCCAGGCTCTCCCAGGATGTGAAGGGCCAGGGCAGAACCAACTCTCAGATCTCTTCTGGCTCCAAACACACACACCAAGTTCCCAGCTTTTGTACAAAGCATTTTCCAGTTCCTTCCAAAGGCATCCATCTAAATAAACTATAGGTGTATCCACAGATGGCTTCTCTGTGACCCGGATGCCCCTCCACTCAAAGTCAGGATGCGTCAAGAAGAGATATCTGCCGTACAGTAGGTAGAGTGCACGCCTGGCATGTGTCGGGTTCCCGGGTTGACCCTGGGCATGGTGGTACATGCTAGCAACACCAGCACTTGAGAGGTCTCAGCAGGAGGGTCACAAATTCAAGGTCATCCTCAGGTATACTGCAAGCTGGAGGCCAGCCTGTGCTACATGAGACACTGTCTCAAAACACCTCCTAGAAAGCCGGACTTTTCCACACCAGAGCCCTGGTTTTCATTAAAACCCCCACAGCAGCTGATTCCTTGAGTGCCCCTTCTGTTTCTTGAGGGAGGACTCAGCCTTCGAGGGACTCTGACAGAGACATGAGTCATGGACTCTCTCAGGCAGACGCGTGCAGAGCTCGGAAGCTCTTACCTCATCATCATCCATCAGGTGTTCCCGGGCAAAGCCGTAGAGCTCCTTCTGGAGCGTCGTCACATTAAAGAACTGCACTGCTTCCTGTCAGACACAAGCGAGAACCATCAGACGACCGGGTTTCTCGTCTGAGAGCCGACAGCAAGTGGGCATGGGGTACAAGCGTTCACGAGCGTACAATGGAAAGGTTGTGCAGATCGGAATGTACCCGACACCCTGAACTATGCAGACATGAAGGTGAATTCTATCAGATATAGACAATATCACGGTTCTTAGCGTGGGGGAAGGGTCTAGGCGTGGTTGGTATCATGTTTGCCTGGCATGCTTGAAGCCCTGGGACCCACCCCAGGACAGTGTGAACCAACTGTGGCAGTGCGTGGCTGTAATCCTGGAACTTGGAAAGAGGAGCCAGAAGACATTCAGAGTCATCCTTAGCAAGTTCAAGGCCAGCCTGTGCTATATGAGACCCTGTCTCAAAACCAAAACACAAAATGCCGGGAGTACAGCTCAGTGGTAGAGCACTTGACCAGTAAACACAAGGTCCTGGGTTCAATCCCCACAGCTTAAAAATAAAAGGAGCAACTGAGTAAATGTGTGCATGTGTGTTCAGCAAGGAACTGCTATGCGGAAGATTTACCTATGAAAACCTAGTCTGGGTTTCTGTTTTATTGGGACAGGTGTTGCTCTGTAGCCCAGCCTGGCCTCACACTCACAATAGTCCTCTTGCTTCTGCATCCAGAGCGCTAGAATTACAGTCATAAGCCACCATGTTCAAAAGTGACAAATATATTTTAAGTCACATATAATTAACCCCCTGACAATAGGTATAAAGCCTCACATTTACTTGCCAAAGGAATTAAGTGATGGTTCATCCATAAAAGTCTATAACCCGGCACTTGGGAGGCAGAGGCATGAGTACTGCAAATTTGGGACCAGCCTGGACTAGGCAGCAAAACTCTAAAGACCAAGGGCTGGAAGTGGCTCAATGGCGGGGCACCTGGTTAGCACGTGAGAGCTCCTGGCTTCTAACACCATAAAAGTGGCGGGGGGGGGGGGGGAAGTACAGGGAAAGGGATGACCGGGGAAGACAAAGTAAGTTACAAAAACAGCATGTGTAGTAGAATCCTAATTTTGTACCAAATTAAAAAAAAAATGAAGAAAGGCTGAAGAGATGGCTCAGAGGTTAGGAACACTGACTACTCTTCCAGAGGTGCTGAGTTCAATTCCCAGTAACCACATGGTGACTGACAACCATCTGTAATGAGATCTGACGCCCTTTTCTGACATGCAAGCATACATACAGGCAGAACATTGTAAAACATAATAAATAAATATATCTTAAAAAAAAATAAGTGCAGGCTGTGTGGATCAGTACATACAGGGACTCAGAGAAGGAATTAAAAAGCTGTGGGGGCCTGGAGAATGGCTCACTGGGTAAAGGAGCTTGCCATCAAGTGTGACCCCTTGGGTTCAATCCCTGGGACCCACATGTGGAAGGAGGGAACTGATTCTCATAAGTCGTCCTCTGACCTCCAGCATGCGCAGGACCACATACATACACCCGATAAATAAATAAAAATACAGGAAAAAAATTCAGCAGGGTATGATGCCATAAGCCTCCAATCCTAGCAGTCAGGAGGCCGAATCAAGAACAGCCTGGTCGACACAATGACTTCTGGGTCAGCCAGGGTTACAGACTCAGGGCCCAATTCAAGAGGGGCAGGGGAAACCAATGGTAACCAGAAGCAGAGAGAGTTCTTTCATTTCAGAACTGATTCTCTCTCTGAAGGGCAAGGCAGTCTCCTGAAGGTGGGAAGGAGGAAGGAAGGAGTGGGACCCGGTGTGGGACACTCACGGGTCTCGGCTGGAAATGCTCGTCCGAAAGGCCCCACTTGTCCCTGTGGTACTGATAGTAGACCAGATTCTGCTGCATGACCTTGTCATCCTTGTCGAAGAGCAGGTAGCTGACGGCACAGGGGGCTGCATTCTTTAGATCGTTCACTGGAACCAGAGAGAAGAGGCTAAGCAAGCGAGCAAACTCCGGGGCTACCCCAGGACCTTCCTCCAGGAAGAGACCAGGCCTAAGGTTTTCCTCCAGGCTCTCTTCTAGAAAACCCTTGACCTCAGAAGGCGAGTAGGGCACAGGTTAAAGGAGGCAGAGGCTCGAGCCACCCTCAGGCTGTGCTGACTTCAGACAATCAGGGCCGGTCACAGGAGGTGGGTCTCAAAGCCTGGCACACTAGAATTGAGGGAGACAGAGGCTGTTTAACTACAAGCCTCCCTCTGGAGGCTGAGTTCCTGAGTCCCACCAGGCTAGGACAACAGTACCAGAGGAGGTGAGCCCTCCTCCAACCAAACCATATGTGGAAGGCATAACGAAGGGCTGGGGGTATGGTTCAGTCGGTAGAATGCTTTCTGAGCATCCATGAAGCCCTGGGTTCTAGCCCCAGTTCTCCACAAACCACACATAACAGCATATTCCCAGCACTTGGGGGAGGTGGAGGCAGGAGGCTCAACAGTCAAGGCCATCCTTGGCTATACAGTGAGTTTGGGGCCAGCCTGGGCTACATGAGACTTGATTTCTAGATAGATAGATACATGGATAGATAGATAGACAGATAGATGGATGATAGGTAACACAAAGACTCCAAACTGCAGAAACCAACAAGAAAAAACATTGGTAGGCCCTCAAGACCAGAAGAGTCAAAGGTTACTTTGTCCTGCCATGTTCTGCCCCACTGCTCAGAACTAGACCCCCACATCTCCATCAACATAAGGACTCTGCAGAGTGGCATTTGTCTTGGGAAGGAGGGGAGTCAGGCAAAGCAGAAATGAGACACAAGACCCAGGGTATTTATTCAGACACCTTCCGCGGCCACTTCTATTAGGTAACAAAACTCTGGTTGGCAGGAATGACCCAGCTGAAGATGGCTCAATTGTGCCACCTAGTGGTTGTTTTCAGTCACGACAACTTTAAAACCTGAACTTCAAGGCTCTTCCCACACAGTTTGTGTGTGAAGGTTTCAAACGTAAATTACACCTATGTTCAATAAATGTTAACTTTAATTTACACTACCTATCTACATCCCTGGAAAGCAGAGATTTCCCAGGGAACAGGAGTCAAGCCCTGAGGCTCAGGGTCTCCGCTCTAATCGGAGCCAGAGGCCGATTTGCGGACAGCATGTACATGGCCTTAATGAGCCTTCTCAGCCACCATAGCAGGTAACAGGACAGTCTTGGGACCTCATTCAAGGTCCTGCATGGGGTTACTTACACTTATAATAGGCGAACTGCAAATAGTGGTACATGGTGGCCACGAATTTCTCCACGGGGTAGCCGCCGATGACCGGGGTGAGGGTCTCCTCGCACTGAACCTTGCATTCCAGAACTTCTACATAATGGTCTGCAAAACAGATATGAATTCTCAGAACAGTCACAACCTCTCTCCCCTCTCCTCCCTCCTCTCCCCTCCCCTCCCTCTCTAGGGATGACACCCAAGGCCTCGAACACTCTCAGCAGCGAGTCTTCCACCACTACTAACTCAGCCCCAGCCCCTTACTACCTTCGGTCTAGCTCTGCCTGCCACACACATACAGGTAAAAGAAAAAAGAACACATTTAAAATAAAGAACTTGGAGCTACGGGCTGGCTCAGCGGTGAAGAGCCCTGGCTGCTCTTCCAGAGGACTCAAATTCAGATCCCAGTACCACGTGGTGGCTCTCAACTGCCTGTAACCTCATTTTTCAGGGATCCTATCACCCTCTTTTGGCCTCCACAGGCACCAGGCACATATGTAGTCCATAGACACACATGCAGGCAAAGTACTGATAGACATAAAAACAAAAATAATAAATTAAATAAATCAAGGGGCATCCATCTTTAATATTCAAAGAGTCTTAAGATCAATAAGAAAATGACAAACACCCATGATAGAACTGCCAAAAGGGGCTTGAGGTAAAGAAGATGGCTCAGTAGGTAAAGAGGCTATCACCAAGACTGCAGACATAAGTTGAATCCTTGGGACCCACGTAGCGGGTAGAGAGAACCAACATCCACAACTTGTCATCTGACCACAAGTGTGCCACAGTGCTGGAGCCCCACCCCCCAACACAAAATAAATAAGTAAAAACAAAAATATAACTTAAAATATTTTAATGGGAGGGCTGGAGAGATGGCTCAGAGGTTAAGAGCATTGCCTGCTCTTCCAAAGGTCCTGAGTTCAATTCCCAGCAACCACATGGTGGCTCACAACCATCTGTAATGAGATCTGGTGCCCTCTTCTGGCCTGCAGGCATACACACAGACAGAATATTGTATACATAATAAATAAATATTTTTAAAAAATATATTTTAATGGCCAAAGAATGCTAATGTACATTAATATGAACAGCAATGGCGCTCTGTCGAGACACAATGTCTCCTCTGCAGCGAGCAGTGCCACTTTCCGAGCAGTTTAAACCAGGTCGGGAGTCTAGCCCGGTGGCAGTGGGCTGGCCTTACAGGCCACAAAGGCAACAATAACAGAGAAACCCTGTCTCGCAAAACCAAAAAAAAAAAAAAAAAAAAAAATTGTCAGCTGTCACGTAGCCCAGGGCTGGCTTCAAACTCCTGTGTGGCTGAGGAAGGCCTTGAACTCCTGATCCTCCTGGCTGAGACAACAGAAGCACCGCCAAGACCAGATAGTGCAGAGCTGGGAGTTGAACCCAGGGCCTTGTGCATGCTAGGTAAGTTCATTAACTGAGAGCTACACCCCAAGCCCAAGATAATATAAATTCTATGTATGGAGTTGAATGTGTGAAATGCAAAAATGAAAACCAGAAGAGAGCCTAACATTATGGCCACCTCTATGTAAAATAAACACACAAAACACGGGGAAATACTTATGTATGCGTAACCTTTACAGAAAAAAAAATGATAGAGGGGACTCAGGAGGAGAGGCATCTAAGGAATGTGAAGTCCTTAGGTTTGGCTGTTAATATCAGGAAGTCAGGAGAGAATGCCAGCCCTGCTCAGCAGACAGGGAGAACACTAACTAAATGCTTAAAAACGAACAGCCCTGGGCTACGGACAGAGCATAGGGGTTGAACATTCCTGTAGCATATGTGAGGCCCTAGGCTCAATCCCCAGAATTGCGATAAAAAAGTAAATGGCACCTTCTATAAGAGAGTAAAGACATCACACATCTCTGGGTGTGACATTCTGAGGCTACTTCTAGTGCTCTAGCCAAAAAGGGGCACTCCCAATAAAACTGTCATAAACCAAATAATCCTGCTCATTTGTTTGTTTTTGTTGTTATTTTTTTGAGAATGGGTCTCACTCTGTATCTCTGGTTGTCCCAGAAGTCACAGAGATCCGCCTGCCTCTGCATCCCTGCTGCTGGGATTAAAGGTGAGTGCCACCATGCCCAGCCCAAATGAGAAATATTTACAAATTAATTAGCCTAAATGTCTCTAAAGGATTGTTGGTGGCCAGGCAGTGGTGGTGCATGCCATTAACCCCAGCACTTGAGACGCAGAGGAAGGAGGATCTCTGTGAGTTTGAGGCCAGTCTGGTCTACAGAAGGAGTTTCTAGGAGAAACCCTGTCTCAAAGAGAGAGAGAGAGAGAGAGAGAGAGAGAGAGAGAGAGAGAGAGAGAGAGAGAGAGAAAGGAAAGAAAGTTGGTAATGTAGAAAGAAGGAAGCAACATGGATGAGAAATTCTCAAGGAAGTGGAGATGGGGAGGGCAGAATACAAGAAATGAAAAACCCAGTGAAAATCAAAAACACAGTGAAGTCATGACCAATGATTTCAGAAGAGAGCACGGAGATGGAGAACAGGTTGAGGAAATACTCGTTCCGATATCAATAAAGAAAAAAGCAAGCATGCCCACCTTCTAAGAACTCCACCACAGCCAAAAACTAAACCTAAACTGAGTGCAGTCGCCCACACCTTTATTCCCAGCACCCAAGAGGCAGAGGCACAAAGATTTCTTAAGTTTGAGACCAGCTTGGTCTACACAGCCAGGCCAGCCTGGGCTACACAGTGAGACCTTGTCAAAAAGAAAACCAAATGTCTTTCTTATCTTAAAAAAGTGTCCCTTGCTCTTTTTCATGGCGCCTCCTAGGCAGCCGGCTGCGTGTCATCTCATCCCCTGCCACCAGCTGTCAGAAGCTCAGTGACGTGGATGATGAACGCAAACGTTCTGTGAGAAGCACACAGCCACGGGAGTAGCTGCTGATGCTCTCGGTGAAGAGCGGAAAGGTCGTGGGATCCGACTCGGTGATAAGAATGACAGGCAAGGCTTTCCCATGAAGCAAGGCATTTTGAGCCATGGCAGAGTGTGCCTGCTGTTGCGTATGGGGCATTCTTGTTATAGAGCAAGGAGAACCGGAGAAAGGAAGCACACAGGTCTGTTCGTGGACGGATTGTGGATGCCGGCCTGAGTGCTCTCAACATGGTTATTGTAACAAAAGGAGAGAAGAATATTCCTGGACTGACAGATACTACTGTGCCGCGTCGGCTGAGACCTAACAGAGCTTGCAGAATCCGAAAGCGTTTTAATTTCTGTAAAGATGATGTCCCTAGTATGTTGTCAGAGAGCCCTTAAACAAAGAAAGCAAGAAGCCCAGGACCAAAGTGCCCAAGATTCAATGTCTCGTTTCTCCGTGTGTCCTGCAGCACAAACACTGATGTGTTGCTCTGAAGAAGCAATGCACTAGCAAAAACAAGGAGGAGGCTGCAGAATATGCTAAACTTTTGGCCAATAGAATGCAGGATGCCAAAGGAAAGCTCCAGGAATGGATTGCTGAGAGACATAGGCTGTCCTCGCTGAGGACTTCTGCTCCTAAGTCTGGGTCCAGTCAAAAAGAAGTCTTTAAGGGTAACAAATAAATAATCATACTTTTTAAAAAAAAAGTGTTCCTCAGACGCTAATCAAGGCTCCTGGCACACAGGCCCCGCCCACCACCAACCTGCAATGGACAGGTAGAAGTCCTTGAAGTCCTTAATCTCCCTGGAGCCTTCGCAGGCTGCCAGGCACTCATAAAAGGCTTTCAGGAAGTCAGGGAGCGCCAGCTCCATGTCCGTAATGGACGTCCTCCAGTTCTCCCCATTGTAGGCCCGCACCGCACGGACGAACAGGTTCTGGAAAGCAAGGAGATGCAGTGAAGCCCCTCCTGGCAAGCAGGAGACACGCTTGTCCCGCCCAAAGAATCATGACCCCTACGGAGCCACGCTTCGTCAGCCCTGGATGACCCTTGACTGGGTACAAACCAGGCACCGTGTACATGAGTGTGGATTTGCCTATACGCTCACCAGAGGTACATTCTTATAAAAACAGAACCCAGGGTAGCCCGAGCTGACTTCAAACTCCCAGAGTAGCTGAGAATGACCTTAACCACTTTTTTAAAAACTTATTTTTACTATTTAGTGTGGACTTAAAGAGTCAGATAACAGTTTAGGAGACATTTCTCTCTCACCATCCTGTGAGTCCCGGGCATCAAACTCAGGCTCGGCAGCAAAAACCCTTACCCAGTGAGCCATCTTGCCAGCCCAAGAAATCACAGGCATGTACCATCATACCCTGTTTTATACAACACTGGGGGCTGAGCTCGGGCCTTGTGTGTCTAGGTGAGCACTCTACCAATTGAGCTGTACCCCAGCCCAAATCACTATGTTTCTTTCTTTGTTCAACTTAAAATACTGCAAGTATTTGACAATGAAACCAAAATCAAACCAAGGAAAAAGTAAAAAAAAAAAAAATCAGATCAATGATTCCCAGGAGTCAGGGGCTGGGTGACAGCCAGAATGAAAAGGGACAAGAGGAAACTGGTCAGGCTGGGTGACAAAGAAACGCCTCGCGTTCTCTCTGTAGCCTGTAGCCGTCACATGACACATGAAGCTGTCTCCCATCACCGAGTTCTGTAAAGTTCATTAACGCTTAGATAAAAGGGCTTGGCGGTGCATGTAGTTCCGCCAGGCTTTGAACCCACAGCCGTCATCAATGCCTCATATCCCAAGTGCTGGGATTACAGGCAAAACCACCATGCCCAATTTGTTGATTTTTTTTCTTCATGGGAATTTTGTGCTCAGCCAGTTTCCTACCATCCTAACTAATAAATATCACTGAAAACAACAAGAGCATTCTTTAGACATCAGCATCTGGGCCAGCAAGAAAGCTCAGTGGATAAAGGTACTTGCCACCAAGTCTGAGGACCTGAGTTCAAATCCCAGACCCCCCCCCCCCCGGTCAAAGAAGAGAACTATGCCTTGTCCTCTGACCTCCACAGAAGCTCTCTTGCTCTCCCTTGCTCGCTCGCTCTGTCTCTCTCTCTCTCTCTCTCTCTCTCTCTCTCTCTCTCTCTCTCTCTCTCTCTCACACACACACCTCTTCTCTCTCTCTTTAAATAATTAGAATGTAATTAAAAGGAAAAACGATGCTAGTTGCTCCCCAAGACATGCTCCTTTAACATGTCCTGTTGCACCAACTGCGGGGTGAAGCCAGCGAGTACCTCGTATGACTTGGTCTCCAGGTCTTGAATGTGGTCCTCAGCTCCAGGCAAGCTCTTGTAATAGGCCATGTTTCTCTTCATCATCTCATCGTCAGGATGCTTCAGAAGGTAGGTGTGAGCCGCAGCGATGGCCTTCGGGAGGTCATTGGCCTGAGCGTATGGCGAGAGGATCACGGTTCAGACACATGCTGGACCTTGCCTTTTAGAACTGAGAGCTTCATTTCAGCTCTTCCTTCCTCTCCCCCCCCCCCTTCCTTTCTCCTGACCCAGTCTTAAGCAGCTCGGGCTGGCCTCAAGGCTGAGGATGACCTTGAACTTCTTTACCTCCCCAGTGCCTGGATCACAGGCATCCAGGAATACTGGGCCAGTTATATGTGTTGATGAGGCTCAAACCCAGGACTGTTGCAAGCCAGGCAAGTACTCTACTGGCTGAGCTACAGCCCCAGCCTCTTCAGGGAGCCCTTAGTTCCTTCTTACCAAATAACACTTCTGGTTAAGAGGTCAATGACTTTTCAAGACCTATCGAGATCTGGGCTAGTCATTCTGATGAGCCTTGGTTCCCAGAAGGTGACCGTGCAGTGGCCTCATTATGCCTTTCCTCATTTACTCTCCACGGTCCCCACCATCCTGGTCCCAGGGGGATGGCCTCTGTGGCACTGACAGCAGTCCCCAGGCTCTCTGGCTTCCACAGGGGTCCCCCAGGAGGAGCCCAATGGGAAGCTAAAAGGGAGGGGTGTAGTCTCTTCCGTCTTCTGGCTCTCTCCCTACGGCCACCCCTGACTGCAATGGTCTCAAACTGAAGGTCACACATCCTGTCAGGGTGGCCTTCTCTACAGGGTCACTCCTCCTGACTCCTGAGTAACTGCTCACTCCCTCGCTCCTTCCAACCAAGGGTTGGGTACAACCGAGTGGCTCTACGCTGGGGGATTAGAAATCCCTTGTGGGTCCCTGCACCTGCACGCACTTCGAGAAACAACCGTCTTGATAAATGTTCCTCACACCATCTCTTCTGCGGCAACCTTGTCAAGCACTGTTTCCAGATCTCTCACAGAACCGTCTGCCTCCCTTCTCAGGGACCCCGACTCCCTCTCTCTGGCTCACCTACTTCACAAATACTCTACAATATTCATGAGGCATCTCCTATAAGGAGGCACTCTTTTCAGAGATCAGGTCGGTGACAGTTAGTTCATCCAGAGTCTGCGGGAACAGGCAGATCCGGAGCCCTGGGTTTACAGCTGACCACAGTTATAGATTAAGAGAAATAAAGAAAAATAAGCCACGTAAAAATGGAAAATTCACAGAGAGTCTGGATTCTTTGTATTATTATGTTTTCTTTAAAATTTTTGACTGTGAAGGAGCTAAGTACAGAGAGACATTTCATTATATGGGGCTGCTAAGCTGAACCTGTACATATGTTCTAAAGGTATCTTGACTTCAGAATTTGGGTCTAAGGATATGATGCTTTGGAAAGGAGTTTCTTCTTTTGTTTTTACAGAGGATGAGACCCCGTGGATTTCTTCTATCACGATTTGGTATGATAGACCACGCCCTCCTGAAAGGTTGCTGTGAACACCCTCAAAAAATTACTTCATTCAACTGCCAACTGAGATGACCCTGGCACACAGGTTATACCATGAAAGACCTAATTAACAACGCCCCCATTCAGCAGGAAGCAGTTTGGAGAGAAATAACTGCGGCCATATTCCCAAATATTGTTTATAAATGTTCTTTTACATTTAAAGGGGGATATGATATAGATATGAATAATTTGCATTGGTATGGATTTTAAGGTCAATATTGTTATATGTATATGTATTTCTGATCTTGATTAAGGTATTGTAATTGTGTAGTTCACTTAAAATGTAATGTATAATTAGGAAATATAGGTTGCTAATGGATAATCATCAATGATAGTAAAGCTTGTAGTCATGTTAGATTTTCTAGATATATAGACATATATTTCAGTTAGATAGGCATTCTTCATATCTTTCAAAGACTGCAGAATATGGCATTTTAAATGTTTTAATAACTTAGGGCTTTTCATGACAATGAGACATGTCTGCTCCTGGCAGCACCAATCTACTTCAAGAGGAAGATGGGCATTGAAGAGGCTCGTTATGGAGTTTGATAACCATTTGTGCAAGAAACTGCTCTTGCCTGGACTGATGCATGTAAACTGGACACAAAGAACCCGCAGAGAGAGGACTGCTGAACTTGCCTAAAGGTGAGATGGTCTTCCAGGGTTCCTGACTCATGAAAGAGTCTGTGAGACATTCTGCAAGACACAGCAAAAAATGACTGAACTGTCTTTGAAATTTCCTGCTTCATGGAAATGTCTGCTGGATACTATGGGCCTGTAGGCCGAAGATGGATGCCCCAACGGTACAGAGGAACTTTGGGTGACTGTACAGGCAGCGAGATGTCTCTGTCATTTCTAGAGTTTTGGATTTCTTTTTTTTTTTTTAATATTTATTTATTTAGTATACAATATTCTTTCTGCATGTATGCCTGAAGGCCAGAAGAGGGCACCAGACCTCATTACAGATGGTTGTGAGCCACCATTTGGTTGCTGGGAATTGAACTCAGGACCTTTGGAAAAGCAGGCAATGCTCTTAACCNGTTTTGGATTTCTTGTTTGCTTAGGTAATATTATATCCTTCTGGAGTCTTTGATGAAGTTGAAGAATGGTTAGTTATAGTTATAGTTTTTTAGTTATGATAAAAGATAAAATAGATATAAATATTGTAACTGTAATTCTTACTTGATAACTGTTTTGTTATATGTAATTTTACTATGTTAAAGTTAAAGCTTCTCTTTTTTGTTTAAACAGAAAAGGGGGAAATAATGTGGGAGTGATTTCTTATTAATAAAGAAACTGCCTTAGCCCATTTGATAGGCCCATCCTTAGGTGGGTGGAGTAATCAGAACAGAATGCTGGGAAAAGGAAGCTGAGTCAGGGAGTCGCCATGATTCTCCTACCGGACCCAGACGCAGGTTAAGATCCTCCCTGGTAAGACACCTCGTGGTGTTACAGGGATATTAGAAATGGGTTAGATCGATATGTAAGAGCTAGCCAATAAGAGGCTTGGAACTAATGGGCCAGACAGTGTTTAAAAGAATACAGTTTCCGTGTAATTATTTTGGGGCATAAAGCTAGCCGTGCGGGCGGCCGGGTGCTGGGAACGCAGCCCGCAGCTCCTTATCACAACACACCAGCTGTGGGTAAATACCAGGCTGTAGGCCTGGGTTCCCAGACTTGAAATAGGGAAGGTGAGCTGATCACCAGCATGCATTTCTCTCTGCCTCTTGACTGGGGACACATTGTGGGCAGCCACCTCATGCACTGATGCCTTGACTTCCCCCCATGATGGACTCTACCCTCAAACTGTGAGCCAAACAAGCCTTCCTTAAGGTATCTCTGTTGGGCATTTTGTCGCAGTAACCAGAGGAGCAACTAACACAGGCAGGCAGATGGTGATGAGCCAGCCTCCCTGTGGGGACACATAACAGCCTGAGTCCCCTGTTGGCAGAATCCTGGCAGAGGGACGGGTCCCCATCATGCGTGCAGATAAGGCTCCTTCAGCCTACCAAAGGAACACTCTGAGGCAGGGGTGGTGGTTAGGGTGAGAGACAGACAGACAACAGACAGAGACAGAGAGAGAACTTGTGAGACCCATCAAATTCTTGAGAATAAGGTTAGAAAAGGTGACATCCATCTGTTCCAGAATACCCCTAAATTTGAAGCAAGTCATCAGAGACAATGGTGGTTTCCCGTGGCGAGGGGGTGGGTGGATAGGAGGGCAGGCTCCCAGGTGTAGGCTGACACCTAGAGAATGACAGTGTGGCCTGTGGCTGATAGGACTTGGGCAGAGGCCTAGGCTGAGGTACAAGGGCCAGCAAGAGGGCTCAGTGTGTAAAGGAGCTTGCCACCAAACTGGGTGACTAAGTTTGATGCCTGGAGCTTACATGCTAAGAGAGAGCAGGCTCCCAACAAGCTGTCCTCTGACCTTCACACACGAACAGTGTGTGCCCCTTGTGCGCACACACATGAACACACACACAATAAATGAATAAGAGCAAAAAATAAAATATCCTTCTTAACCAGAAAAAGCAGAAACTGGGTTTTAGGAGTTTTCTCTCGGCCACGCTCGGTGAAGGCCCAACAAGCTGAGGCCTTTCTGTCCAGCATTCCAACCTCCCAAACAAGGACTTAAAGGGCAGGGAACTGCAATTTGTAGCTATTTTTAGCAAGCAATCACAGGCAGAAGTTAAGCAGCCATAAAGAGGAGGCAGTGAACTGTGTGCATTAAATTCTAACAGAGAAGGAACAGAGACGAGCCTGGTGAACCACAGGGCACAGACTTCTGTGAGCAGAGAGGAGCCTGTCCCCAAAGCGCAGGCCACATTATGAAGCCCTTTCTCCAGTTCCAGGTACTTTGCTGGGGCATCCCAAGACATATTTGCCACCTTAGAAGAGGCTGCGACAATTTTCACAGGCGCTGGGATGGGCGGAGCGTACAGAGGTATGCAGGCAGGAGGATGGGGAATCCAGATTCAGACTCAGCTATGTACCAAGTTTGAAGCCAGTCCAGGTTACATAAGACCACGCTTCAAAAAGGGGGGGGGGATTTTCATGCTTAAGATGAGGAAAGGCAGTGTTTTTGTTCACTGTGAACTTGTGTTGCTCTCATTGGTTTAATAAAGAACTAAATGGCCAATAGCTGGGCAGGAAGAGGTTAGGCGGGACTTATGGACAGGAAAAAAAAGAGTGTGGGGAAGAAGGGCAGAATCGTAAGGAGAGGCAAAGAAAAGTAAGAGGAATATAATATACCATGTGGTAGAGCATAGGTAAGAAATATGGATTAATTTAAGATGTAAGAGCTAGGGCTGGAGAAATGGCCCAGAGGTTAAGAGGTCCTGAGTTCAATTCCCAGCCACCATATGGTGGCTCACAACCATCTATAATGAGATCTGGCGCGCAGGAAGAATACAGTATACATAATAAATAAATAAATCTTTTTAAAAAAGATGTAAGAGCTAGTTAGCAACAAGCCTAAGCTATTGGCTGATCATTTACAATTAATAATAAAGTCTCTGTGTTGTTATTTGGGGAGTTGGTGGTTCCAAAGAAAAACTCCACCTACAAGGCAGGATTTGGAGAGCTTTGGAAGAGCTGTGTGGCAGAACCTGAGGGAAGGAGAGTAAAGCCATTATCTCAGTGGGGAAGGGCACTCAGGTTGCATTGGCTGGCTCACAACCTCCTCTAATTTTAGCTCCATGGTATCTGCTGTCCTCTTCTGGCCTCCAAAGGCATTCACACATATGTGGCATGGTACACACACACACACATAAAAATATAAAGAAAAAAATTTTAATTCAAAGGATTGACGCTCAACGTTGAAGGAAAGGCTGGTCTAGAAGAGGCCCGATATGGGATGTTGCTGGTGGGTGCTCAGAAGGGTGGGGCTCGGTGGGGAGATGCTCAGTGGAATAAGGTGGAATCTGGGGGTGGTGTGGAGGGAGACTTGGTGAGGTGCGGCTCAGGGGCAGCCCGGAGGCAAGGCTCTGTGGAGCCGACCCTACTGTAGAGGTGGAGAGGTTAGGAGGTGAAGTGTGGCTCCGGGAACTGGCAGGAAGCTAAACTGGGCGGGGTCAGCTGAGGTGGGTTTTGGGACAAGATGGGGGACCCTGATCAGTGGGACACGGTTTGAGAGAGGGTGACTGTGGGAAGGGCCCACAGCAGAACTGGAGTGTGATGGGCGGGGTTCGAATGGGGCGGAGCTCCGCTGAGGGGCGGGACTACCTGGACTGCAGGCCTGCTGGGCGGGGCTTGGGGTGGAGCGGGAGTGGTTTGGAAGCTGGGTCAGCTGGGCGGAATTTAAAAGGGGGGGTCTGTTCTAAATTCAGTCGGAAGGGGCTCGGGCGGGTGGGGCTCGAGGGCGGGGCCATGAGCTCACGGGGTGTGGCTTGGGTTTGTGGGCGGGGCTTCGCGGGCGGGGCTCTGGGTGGGGCGAGCGCACATACCTTAAAGTAAGCGAACTGCAGGAACTTGTAGGGCTCGCGCTGCTGAAAGTCAGCCAGCACCGCGCGGCTGGGCTGCGACTGACGGAAGGCGGGCAGGCCCTGCTTGCAGCGCTTGAGACACTGCGCCCGGCGCAGCACGCCGCCGAAGAGGCGCAGCTCGGCGTGGCCGGCAGCGCTGGCGGGCATGGGAGCGGGCGTAGCAGCGCTGCAGTTGCGGTGGCAGAAGGCCTCGCTGTCGCGCAGCAGACGGTGCAGCCGCAGGCTCACCTCCAGGTAGCCCACGCTCTCGGCCCAGTGCTCGCCGCTGTACTGGTCGAGCGCGTGGCGGTAGGCCGACTCGAGCGGCATCAGCTCGTCCCGCGGGAAGCTGCGGAAGCTGTAGCGCTCGTACTGTGCGCGCCCCGGTGGCAGCACGCACCCGGCACTCAGCAGTACCAGCAACGCGGCCGCAGGGCTGCGGGACCCCATCGCGCGTGGCCCGATGACCCGAGCCCGGAGAGGAGGACGCGCGACGCGGCAGGCCCGGGAGCGGAGGCGGGGACGCCCGCTGTGGCCCGCCCCGTCCGGCAGGCCTCCCCGCCCGGGGACCGAGATGGGTGTGTCCTGGGGAGGCGCTCAGCTCTGGAGTCTGAGAGGTGGAGAGAACCTTAGGGAATTCCAGACCAGCGTGGGGTACATGGGACCCCATCCCTAAAAGGAAAGAAAGTTTGCAATCACTTGAAGGATGTATGGGCCGCGCTCCACTAGTTTCTTGTTCAGTACATCCGGATTGGGGTGCGTTTTCTTTTTTTCACTGGGTCTCTTTGCTATAGCCCAAGCTAGCCTTAAACTCACTATATCGTCCAGATTGACTTTAAATTTGCTCCAAGTCTTCCCCCTCCCCACTGCTGAGATTCACAGACATTCGCCACCACGCCTGCCCTGAACAACTGAGGCTGCGGGATTACAGACCACACTGTGAATAGCAATGGCACTAACCTTTAAGATTTTAAAAGACGTTGCATAGATAAAATTAATAAGAATGCCCATGGCTCTTTGTAAATCGTGTGAGATGTCAGGTTGAGGGGGCATTGCATCTAAGGCGGAGTACGCTGGAGAAATTTGTGCATGAGCAATGATAAAGACAGTAAATTAAAAAAAAACTTTACATTTTTTGAAGTAATTTATGGCAAAATTGCAGGGACAGAATCCAAAATTCCTATATTCCTCTTCATGAAAATTTACAAATTGACGGCACACCTTTAATCTTAGCACTCCAAAGGCATGGCATTGAATCCCTGGGCTCAGGCCAGCCCAGGCTACATAATGAGACCTAGTCTAAAACAAACAAACAAAAACCCAAAATTTATTTAGAGCTTTGAGATTAGCGGTTAAAGGCACTTGTTACCAAACCTGAGTTCAATCCTAGGCTACACGCTGGAGAAACAGAATCAATGCTCCGTGTTGTCCTTTGACCTCCACACGCGTGCTGTGGTACCTGAGTGTGCTGTTCCTAGTCAGGGCCAGGAGAATGATGCTCTTTGGGAGACTCCTGTAGAAGATGTTCCTTTTTCCATACCCCATTGTCTGTGCTAGTCAATAAACAGATGGCCTTTGTTTAGGAATAAGATTAGATTAGAATTAATCTATTAGATTAGAATGAGAGATCAGAAACCTGAATAAATCAGGCACATCTTGGGTAAATAATGCCAACCAAGGATTGGTTTTCTTGTAGGTGTCATGGCCACACCTTATCTCCTATACTAATTAATTCATAATGGGGCTGCAGAGATGACTCAGTGGTCAAGAACGTTGGCTTCCCTCCCAAAGGTCCTGGGTTCAATTCTCAACACACACATGGCAGCTCACAGTTTCTGTAACTCTAGTCCTAGGGGATTTAAGCTCTTCTACCCCCTCTAGACACCAGGCATACATGTGGTGCACCATGAAGGAAAAACATCTGCACACATAAACTTTAAAAAACTGAAAAGTAGCCGGGCGGCGGTGGTGCACGCCTTTAATCCTAGCACTTGAGAGGCAGAGGCAGGTGGATCTCTATGACTTAGGGGCCAGCCTGGCCTACAAAGCAAGTTCCAGGACAGTCAGAACTGTTACACAGAGAAAACCAAAGCAAAACAAAACAAAACAAAAAACAATCAAATAAAGAAAACAAAAACATTACAGAAGGGCTCAGTGGTTGAGTACCTACCTGACATGTGAGGTCCTAGGCTTAGTAATCTATAGATGGAGGCTGCTCTTTCATTTCCCAGCCTCCCAGACCCAAATAATCACACAGAAACTATATTAATTACAACACTGTTTGACTAATAGCTTAGGCATATTCCTAGATATCTCTTACATCTTAAATTAACACATTTCTATTGATCTATGTATCACCATGAGGCTGTGGTTTACCGGTAAAAGTTTTGGGTGTCTTTCTCCTTTGGCAGTTACATGGTGTCTCTTTGACTCCACCTACTCTCTCTCTCTATCTCTTCCAGCCTGGCTCTATTCTGCTCTGCCAAAAGCCAAAACAACTTTATTCATTAACCAATAAAAGCAACACATATACAGAAGGACATCCTCAGAACTAAGGAGGATGGGTGTTTGTCCTCCGTACTTTATGTTGCTGTGTTAAAGCATCATGACCAAAAGCAACTTAGCAATAAAATGGTTTATTTGGCTTACAAGTTGTGGTCCATCATCAGAAGTCAATGCAGGAACAGAAGAAGCCATAGAGGAACACTACTTACTGGTTTGCTCTCCGTGGCTTGCCCAGCTTGTTTCTTTTTTCTACCACCCAGAACTGCCTACTCAGAGTGGCACTGCCCTCAGTGGGCGGAGCCCTCCTGCAGCATTCATTATTGAAAAAAACACCCCTGCAGGCTTGCCGACAAGCCAGTCTAAGAGAGGCATTTTCTCAGTGGACTGGTCCCTCTTCCCAGATGACTCGTGTGTGTGTGTGTGTGTGTGTGTGTGTGTGTGTGTGTGTGTGAAACTAACAAAACAATGCAAAAACAAACAACAAACAAATGAAAAACCACAACAACACAGTGTTCTGTTGCTGTGATAAAACACTGGCCAAAGCACCTTAGAGAATAACTCACACTTCCTGGTCATAACCCATCATTGAGAGAATCAGGACAGGAACTCAAGGCAGGAACCCTACCCAAACTCATGCTTAGCTGGCTTTCTTTTCTTTTCAGATATTTTTTATTTGTTTATTTTTAGACAAGGTCTCACTCCTGCCTGGCCTGGAACTTACTATATAGACCAGGCTGGCCTAAAACTCGGAGACATAACCTGCCATTGCCTCCTCAGTGCTGCGATAAAAGACGTGTGCCACCACGCCTGCCTTAGCGAGTTCTCTTGTACAGCTCAGGATCATCTACCCAGGCAATGGTGCCACTCACAGTAGGCCAGGCCCCCCAACATCAATGAATCACCAACACAGTGCCTCACAGACATGCCCACAGACCAACATGATCTGGGCAATTCCTGAGTTGACGCTTCTCTCAGAAGACTATAGACAGTGTCAAGGGGACAAATCTCGCCAGGACACGGGGTTCCCAGAACTCACATGTGGTGTCTTGTGACTCTCTGGGACTTTGGGCCTGGTATGGCCAGATTTTCTCGTCTTTCAAGAAAAACTGGAAACACACATTATGTCATCCTCTGGTTGTGTGTTGACAGCTGTAGAATTAACTTAAAATTGAGACACTAGTGAGCCAACAGAGCTCTTTGGGCCACGTCTAGTTATAACATTTGATCTAGATAGACAACCACTATCATTATCCAGAGCCACAGTGAATCACAGCGTCAGGTGTGGCTGTAAACACAGGGAGAAGGGTCAACCTAAGGAGCTTCCCCGGAAGAAGAAACAGCAAGATGTGGGGACTGACCAAACATACCAGAAAACTAACCAACGGAAAACTCCAAAGCAAACATTAAAGTGGGTGGCACAAGGAAGCACAAAGAAATTTGGGGAGTATGGTAATGGCGGCAGTCCTTTCCGCCCCCACCTCTCGGCCCCCTGCGCCAGGCCTCCCATGGGTCCTTGGATGTTGTCAGGCAGTTCAGACTCCTGAAAGGACGAATGAAGACATCGCAGAAGACCTCACTGTCAGATGCACAAGTCGGTTCCTGACACATGATCACCAACTTTTGCTGCTGGCTCCCTTATTTCACAATCTTCATTGCTTTATACTGAGCCCTTCGCTTGTTGCACAACTTAACCCTGAGATCTGGAGTTCATGATTTTCTCTATCAGAAAGCTTAAAGAAGTGAGAAAGATAAGAGGACTGTGGAGCCTGGCGGTGGTGGCACGTGCCTTTCATCCCAGCACTCAGGAGGCAGAGGCAGTTGGATCCCTGTGGGTTCAAGACCAGCCTGGTGTACAGAGAGAGTTTCAGAACAGCTGTCTGTCTCAAAAACCAAAACACAATAGGGAAAATGACTGTCACAGTAGAACTGCCCACAGTTTTGCCTGGGGCAGGGATGGGAGGGCAATGCTGTTTAGTTTAGATTACATTTTTTTTTCTGTTTCCAGGCACACATATGCCCCTGCTTGTTATATAGAAGTCAGTGGGCAGCTTGCAGAAGTTGGGTCTTTCTTCCCATCATGGGAATTTTAGGGGTTGAACTCAGGACTTCAGGCTTATTGGCAAGGGCCTTCCCAGCTGAGCTGTCTCTGACACCCTGTTTGTTTTGAACAGCTCATTCTACAGCTGGGCTGGCCTTAAACTTGCAGTTCTCTCTCTGACTCCAGCCTTCCGAGGTACAGCTGTCAATCACTGTGCCTGGCTTATTCATTTACCTTTTAGGTAACTTTTAAGTTCATAGCACTAAATGCCCACATAAAGAAGCTGGGGAAATCCCACACTAGTGAATTAACAGAACATTTGAAAACTTTAGAACAAAAAGAAGCAAACCACCTAAGAGAAGTAGTCAGCGTGAAATAATCAAATTGAGAGCTGAAATCAACAAAATAGAAACAAAGAAAACAATACAAAGAATCAATGAGACAAAGAGTTGGTTCTTCGAGAAAATCAACAAAATAGACAAAACTTTATCCAAACTAACCAAAAGGCAGAGAGAGAATATCCAAATTAACAAAATCAGAAATGAAAAGGGGGACATAACATCAGGTCATATTTCGAAAACCTGTACTCCACAAAATTGGAACACTTAAAGAAAATGAACAATTTTCTGAATAAGTATCACTTACCAAAATTAAATCAAGACTAGATAAGCAAATTAAACAACTTATAACTGCTAAAGAAATAGAAATAGTCATCAAAAGTCTCCCAACCAAAAAAAGCCCAGAACTAGAAGGTTTCAGCTCAATTCTACAAGATTTTCAAAGAAGAACTAATACCAATACTCCTCAAATTGTTCCATGCAATAGAAACTGAAGGAACATTGCCAAAGTCTTTTTATGAGGCTACAATTATCCTGATACCCAAACCACATGAAGACATTAGTAAGAAAAAGAATTACGGACCAATCTCACTCATGAACATTGATGCAAAAATTTTAAATAAAATATTGGCAAATCGAATCCAAGAACAC